TAGTAATGTAACTTCAAAACCGAGGGAGTTATTTATAAAATAGTTAAAATGTAAACAAAATTTCAAGAACCGCTTTCTCGAAAAATGGAGCCAATCTGGCCAAAACTAGGGGACGCTATTGAATTTAAAAGGCCCCAATTAATGAGGAGCAACTATCAGAACCTTTGCCCAAAAAAGTTCATTTGATACCTCGCTCGAAATATTCTCACTATAAGGAGGATCCTCATTAAAAGTAGTAAATCAGGATTTTAACACACTTCTAGTAAATTTTTTTTTGAAGCATTTTACAGGTATATGGAATATTTTATCTTTAAAAGTTGGTTTATTCTCAAAGCCAACTTCTGCTAAGTTATCAAAAAATTCGGCATTGTTTTTAGAATACAATACGTACTTATAATATTTTCAAAATAAATTGCTTCAAAAAGTATACGCGATAAGGCGAAAATTTTGAAAATTGTGAAAAAGTAGAGTTATATTAACGGCCCAATTCTGTGTTTTCTTGATAAATTTTTTGTAAAGAAATTTTATCAAGATTTTTATCAAGTAAAAGCTTCCCTCGTATTCTGTGTCAATATTTATAAAACAAAAAGCTCTACGATTTCCACATAAGTGGAACTGATTTCCACATGTGTGGAACTGATTTCATTGTCACATATGAAAAATATGGATTTAAAAGCAACAAAGCTTTTGACTGTCGTAGCCGAGTAGCTAGAGATGTCGACTATAATTCCGTGTGTCGCAGGTTCAAATGCCGGCACATGGAGTATTTAATTGTTAGAAACAAATTTATTAATATACAAAATGTCTACATTTCACATGAAATTTCAATTTGTCAATAGCATTTTCAATCTTGATAATTTATCAAGAAAAAAGCTTTTGGTTTCTGTGCTAGAATACCAATTCTTGATAAATAATAAAAAAATGACAAATTATAAAGATTTTCAATTTATCAAGTGCACAGAATCGGGCTGTAAGTGTACACACATGTTTTAATTACGCATAAAATTTCAAATCAGAATATGGTGAGCTTCAAAATTTATGACATAATAAACTTTTCATCTCTTAAAAATTACATTAAAAAATCTGTCGTTTTTAATATTTTCTTGAATTAGAGGACCTAGATTTCAAAAGTTATTCAACAAATTAATTCAAAACTGTTTGGAGGCTTCAAGTATACATGTATAAACTGTATCCAAAAGAAACAAGGTGGATATAATTTAATACGGTTGACAAACGGGCTCGATTATGTGCATAAACAGCTTTTAGTTGCTTTGGCTCATGCATTTTCCTCTTTAAAATGCGCATAAGCAGCCGAACAAATTCACGAAATTTTTGGGAATTAACTCAGATTCGGGCAGTTTTCGTTGACAACACTGATAAAAACGGCCATCTGTTGTCTTTTGTACAAGTAAGCAAACAAAGCACGCGAGCCGAGTGGTAAGAGTTACGGGCTACAAGCCTGTAGCTGCCAGGTTCGATCCTCGGTTGGAGCGATTGCGAAACAAATTTTTGTTTTTATTATTTATTTAATATTTTTTTTATTTTATTTGATCTATATATTTACTTTTACTTTATTTTATTTTCATTTGCTCTATTTTATACCACATTTTTATTTTACTATTAGTTAATTTAAATTTTTAGAGTTAAATTTTAATAAAAAGTCAAGAACAACCAACTGAAAGCAACTTAAAAAAAATATAGAACTTATAAAAAAGGATTGAAAACGAAATAAATGAAAATTCAACTGGCCGTGGGACTCGAACCCACGACCTTGCGGCTCGTTTATCCGCATAACTGCCGTCTGTTAGGTCAAAATTATTATGCACATATGTGTGCCAGTTTATATGCATAAGCTTTGCCGTCTGTCACAGCTTTAAAACAATGAAAATAGATCTAGATAACAAAAGTTAGATTTTTCCATATACATACGTGCTTAGAAATGAGAAATTATTCCCGTTATACCCCAACGAAAGATATCAATACCTCTCAATTTAGCTTAAAATGGTTCCAGGGATATGCCGCGTGAACGTGTAACCTGGTATTGATAATAGGCGTGTTTTATTTGTCCAGAAATTTAAGCTGTTAGCTTATTTTGTATGGAGAACTTACCCAACATAATTATATTGGCTTATGAAAGGTTATCTTGGCTTGTATATTGAACAAGAGGCATTGCCATTCAGCATCACAAATATTCCCCTTCAGCCAATCAGAAAGAGGCAAAAACTTGCTCTGACACTGTTTGCAGTCAAACAACTGCCAAAATTAGGCTAACATAGGAAATAAGCTAATTTCGTTTTATTTGACCAAGATTTAGCTATTTGCTTGTGATGGTTGAATAAAACATGCCTAATATACCACTTCTCAGTACTGTGGCTAAATGCTGCGAGAGGTATGCATTATGAGAGTTTCAGATTATCCCCTCTATTGTAACATAGTCACAAAACTTAGCTCATCGCTGTTGTGATTTCTATTTCTATCCTTCCAAAGGTATGCATTATGAATTTTTCAGTATGTATGGGAGGCGCCACGGCTTCTTTTCCAATAACTCACATCTGGAATTAATTTTGTATACATATTTCGGTACCAGTGATGCTAACCGGGAGAGAATTCTCGGGGGAATCGGGGAATAGCTTAAAATTTTGGGAGAATTCAATATACAAACAATTTTTTTAGAACATTCCTATTGAGAATGATATTCCAACCTGTAATAACGGATTTAAAACATAGCGTAATTGCCTAATGCAGCCGTTGGATATTAAAGAAATTTCAACCGTGAATAGCGGCACTTTTCACTTGACGTTTATATTTGACACTATCATTTGTCACTGCGTTTTCGGCGACAAACAAAAGTTCGAGCAGTAAGCATTTCTCAATATATAGGCAATTTTTCCAAAGTTAAACTAAAAAAATGCAATCAGATACTTTGGAGGAAATTTTACTTACAAAACAACTATGCAAAAATAAAACCTCTCTTGATTTTAGTGCGACTTGAAGACAGATGCAAAGTTTTCATCAAGAAATATGAGATCCTAAGGAATATTCCGTCTATACCCGATATACATACATAGATATATGATAGATATTCTTTACGAGATATACTCAGAAGTATGAAATTTATATATTACTAGCCGGCCTCGTATGAGCGAGGCTTCGCCACGCGCTGAATGTGTAGATATTAAGTAAGGTGTGATGGACAACTCAACTATAAAAGCAATGTGAAATTCAATCACACTTTTTAAAAAACATTTTGGGTACAGCTTATTTGTTAATTCTGTCTCTCTACATATGAGTAGTCCACTTGCAAACAGCGTTATGTGATGTTATAATAGAAAGCCATAAATTTGAAAAAACGACTACGACAACAAGTAACATTTAAATTGAATCGTTTTTATTATTACCTGAAAATTTGGATAAATAAGAGCCTTATAAAATTATAACATAACATACCATGACATAAGATAACATTAAC